CCCCACTCCTCCCTTCTCGTTCGCCTCTGCACGCCGCCATACGACAGCGTGTGTCCCAGACATAAATCTATCCCTCTGGTCCGCAGTTTGCTGGTCCGCCACGCAGCCGCAGCGCAAAGCGGTTGCGATGTCGAGAATGGATGCCCCCCGCCGCCGCCCCATCTCAGAGAGGATCATCCGAAACGCAGCGATATATACACACTTCCTTCACAAGATATAACGATAATTCCCTTCCGATATATATCTATAAAAAATAAAAAAAAAAGGTTTCGACCCTCTTTCTGCGCCGGGCTTTACAGCTTTACAGAGACGATAACTGACGTCGCAAATGGGTGGGCTCCGCTCTCCTCCTGGCGGCCAACTGTCGCGAAATGCGCAGCTCCTAAATATCAACAGGATACGGGGAAGGCGGTTTAGTCGTGACCCGGCGCAGACTCGACATCATCACGAGAAAACTTTGGTGGTGGAGCGTTGGTGGGGCAGTGCAGGCAAACACAGAGCGGGGGACGTGGACGGCAGGACAAGCAGGCAGACAGGCATGCTTGCCGAACGGATCGCGAGGACCTGCGAGCGAGTCACGGAAGGACGAACAGCCAGGCAGTGCAGTGCAGCAGGCGCAGCCCCCCCCCCTCCCCAGCCGAGCACATAGAACAAGGAGTTTGGCCTGCTTTTTCGTGTAACTCTTTTTTATTGTTTCCTGTTTGCTACACCGTGGAAAAACACCATCTCGTAGAGACTTAAAATAAAAAGTATTGCATGCGGTATGCAACATTTGTAGCCGGCGGCGGCGGTATGGGACGCACTCGATATTGCAAATACCTCCCCGCGCCATTTGACTTCCGGCCGCGCGCCTCTCCACTTCCGGTATCATAGCCCCCCCGCCCTGCTCATATCTTGTTTCGCAGGTCGCGCTGAGGAATGGAAATTGTTTCCCCCGAGGAGCGCGGGGGAGGGGGTTGCGGGCGGCGGGGCGGGGGACAGGAAGAGAAAAAGTTGGAGGCGGAGCCGGCGCGGGCGAGCCGCCTACGCTGCAGCAGCGGCATAGCGCTGCTTGATTACCGAAGATTCGCACTTTTTTCCCCCTCTCTCCCCGCCCTTCCCCGGCGGCAACTTTCCCGTTAAATGAATTCCCTATCTCGGCGCGCGCTGTTCGCGTGCCCACTCGGCCGCTCGCTTTCATCAAGTTAAAAACATCGTCGCGGCGCCATAACCCTTCCTCTGCTCCATTCACACCGTTAGTGTCGCGCCGAGGACCGCGCCGTCGTATTTTTTGCGTCGGCCGCGCCTTAAGATTCCCCCGCTGCCCTTTCCCGTTCCGGCAGCGCAGAACCCCCCC